TTTTCCTTGCACAATTGATTCATGCGTAGCAAATTATGGGTTCATGCGCGTAACACGAAATTTATATAATTTATTTATATCCCATGGCGTATGCACATTTTTAGGAAAACATTTAAAATGGTAATATACATTAAAATGACGATAACCAGGGAAGGGGCAAAAAACAAACGAGGAAAAAATTTAAATTGATAACCTCTTGGAACTTTTTCTTATTTTGCATTTATTACCATTAGATATTAAAAATTTTTAATTAATTTATAATTTTTCTAATTTTTTCGCCCCTTTTGTTTTGTTTTATTTAGGCAGAACATATAATATTATTTAAAAAACTGCAAAAGAAAAATTATCCTCGGTTCCCTTAAAAAGTGCTTGTTCATAATTCTTTTCAAAGGGGAAAACAACTTTCAATAAAATTTATGTTTTTTATGATCCAGATGAAATAATTTTTTTTTTTTTTTTTGGGATCATCTCTCCCCTTTTTTCTCTTTAAAAGAAATGGATCAGCCACGGGTTAAAATCATAAGGAGGGGGGCTGTGCGAATTTTTCTGTACGGGCTTCGAGGGTCGGAATTGTTCGTAGAAAATTTTCAGTTTTTGCTGTCATCTATGTTTGTAGAAAAAAAAAAAAAAAAGGGGGGCAGATAGTATAAGGCCTAGGATTTAAAGTTCAGGGTTTACGACTTAGGGTGTAATGTTCAGGGTTTTGGTTTCCTAGGTTTGAGGTAGGCTGTTCCCAGTTTTAGTATTCCAGTATGTGTTGTGAAGAAGCATGTCGCAGTTAGGATATAACAACTTTAGGGCTTCCTTACCCATGGATGTGGCGTGGTGTTCTGTTGTTTTTCACATGTTTAGTGTTCAGAGTTCCAGCTTTTAGAGTGCGCATTTCCGGGTTTAGATTTTAGGGGTTGCGGGTTTATAATTTTAGGTTTTAACTAGGTTTAGGGGTTTATAGGTTTTTGGGTTTAGGACGGAACTTAGCTGGGTTAGATATTTAGGTTTCTTTTACCATATGTGCGTGCACAATTCACGGCTTAGGGGCTCAGGTTCTGAGGTTTTAGCTTATTCTGTTTACAGTTCAGTATGGCTTATGAAGAAAGCATTGCTGTGTAAAACCTTTATTTGATGATTTCTGCTCATAGTTATTAGTTATAGAGCTATTTAAAATTATGTTAATGCAAAAATTTTTCAGAAAGCGAGGTAAAAACAGAAACAATGGAACAGATGCAGCTTCCTCTAAGTATCATACGCAAGACTGGAATAATTTTTTTCCATATAATAAGTTACAGGGACTAGTGCACTAAAGGAAAAATTGTTTTATTCTCATATATATATATATATGTGACAGCTAAAGTGACTTGATATTTTAAACAAATATATGTTATATATATATTATATATTACGAAAACAATGAGAACTGGGAGCTAATATATCATGTATATACTTATAAAGAATACATGTAATATTAATAAAGGGAATCAAATTATTCTGGATACATATTATTC